GCATTCACTATACATCCTAGTCTTCAAGAAAGGAGATGCCAAGAAGTGCAGTAACTACAAGACCACTGCTCTAATTTCCCACACAAGAAAAGTCATCCTCAAGGTGATGTAGCAAAGGCTTCTACCCTATATGGAGCCTGAAAAGCGGGGTGTCCAGCTGGATTCAGAAAACAAGCACTTGAGATCCAATTGTGAGCACTCGCTGAATACTGGCGTGCTCCAAAGAATTTCAGAAGGTTACTCTATGCTCTATAGACTAAGTAAAGCCTTGATTATGTGGATCATGAAAAGCCATGGGTCGTTCTGACAGAAATGGGCGTGCCTCAGCACTCGATTATCTGGTATTATGATCAGGAAGCCGCTGTCAGGACAGAATGTGGAGAGACAGATGGTTTCCTATGGGCAAAGGTGTCAGAGAGGGTGCATTTTACCTCCCTATATGTTTAATTTGAGCTAGATTTAGAGGGAGGACTGAAAATTGGTGGAAGAAATATTGTTAACTTAAGATATGCAAATGACACCATCTTACTGGCAGAAAGTGCCAAAGGAGGGCTGCATCTGAACATCCAGAAGACAAAAATCATGACCAGAGAAGAAACGTACAACTTTAACAGACAATGAAGACATTGGGGTCCTGCAGGATTACAAGTCAAAGCTGCCATCTTTTGCTGCCATTATATGGTATTAAATGAAACAGAAAAAAGCAAACATTCAAGTTACATATCATTTTAATCGTTCAGCAGGGGTCCTCAAACTTTCTAAACAGGGGGCCAGTTCACTGTCCTTCAGACCGTTGGAGGGCCGGACTATAGTTTAAAAAAAACTATGAACAAATTCCTATGCACACTGCACATATCTTATTTTGAAGTAAAAAAACAAATGTTTTTGGTGGGCCGCAATTTGAGGACCCCTGGTTCAAAGTATACAATTGGTGATGAAATTGTTAAAGATTTTGCTTATCTTGGCAAATTAAGCCTGAAATAGACCACTGGAGGCAAAAAGGGCAAAGCTGCAGCTGTCCTACTATGGGCATGTCATCAGAAAGCAGATTTCTTTGGAAAAGATAATAATGCTTGGTAAAATAGAAGGCAGCAGGAAAAAAGAAAGACCGAACATGAGGTGGACAGACTCCATCAAAGAAGCCAAAGGCATGAGTCTATAGGAGCTGAGCAGGGCAGGTGAGGACAGGACACTGTGTACATGACTCTATTCATAGGGTCGCTAGGGGTCAGAGCTGACTCAAGTGCATGTAACACATGCACATGATTTGGAAAACGGCAATAAAATAATGTTATGTGGAAAAAAAAAATTCAGACCTAAAATGGTACATGCATTATGACTATCACCATGTTTAGAGTATGAAATACACCAAGAGTTTGGCTGTATTAGGGGAGTAGGACGGCCCCCTCCATTCCCCTCTTCTGTCAAGTGGTTTTATTGTTTAGTTTCTGATTTAAAAGTTTTGTTAAACTCAGAATATTAGTCTCTTACCATTTGGTCCAAGTGATGTTCTCATTGTATTTGCTACAGCCTTTGCTGCCATTATATGAGACTAAATGAAACAGAAAAAAAGCAAATATTCAAGTTACATATGATTTTAATAGTTCAAAGCATACAGCTGATGACTGATCATAAGAACACTTCGCAATGCTAACTTCATGTGAGTCCAGCCATAAACATACAGCACATGATGGTTTACTGCAGAAACACTCTTCTCTCAAATGGTCTAGCCAACATACAAGCTATACAAGAAGAGTCATCCTTGATGTTACCTGCCAAGGATATCAATACAGAAAAATGGAAGCTTAAAATCACCTATTCCTATTTCCACACATAATTAGGTCCACTGTCCCTCCATGTCTGGTTTCCTTTCTATTCTTGCTGTTACAACCAAACCCAGATCCATAGCACCCTACAGAAATCCAGGGTCTCGTATCTCACCTTCTATCTTGCAGATTCATCCTACATCCACCTAAGCCATCCATTTCTCTGTCAGTCCCCAAACCTTAAGCGCCCTCTGCCCCAACATGAAGGTCTAAAAGCTTCAGCTTTTCAGAGCCTCCCCACTACCAAATCTGAGACCTAGTTTCCTTCCAGTGAGGATTGTCTATGCCTGTTCCCCCAAACATGTCCCCTGACTCCTGGACTATGGCCTTCTCACTAGCTACCAAAAACCTGACCAATTTTTTAAAGCAATTCAAATGCACATGTTTCTGTGAGGCCTTCCTTCCTTGGTTACCCCATCTGGCAGATAACAAGACACAAAGTTCATTAGATTTGTGAAAATGTAATTCTTACAAATATACTTTGACTTATCCTATATAATAAAAGGCCTATATGCAAATTGTCCCTACGGGGGAGAGCTCAACATGTGCTGACCATCAGGGGGTTGTGCTGGCAGTGGGCAGCAGTGGAGGCACTGCCAGCCCCGATGAGTGGGACCATGGCGGGATGGTGGAGCAGGAGAGCAGGTGGTGCCAGACCAAGGCGGGTGCGAAGGGAGGCCCCAGCTGGCAGCCGCTAGGGACCCTACCCGTGCACGAATTTCATGCAGTAGGCCTCTAGAGTGTCTATATAATGGAATTTTTAAAGGATAATAATTGTAGGGAGGTAGTCCCTAAAGCAGGGGAGATTTCATTCCCCAGGAGACATGTGGCAATCCCTGAAGACATTTTTGATTGTCAAAACTGGGGAAGGGGCCTGGCTGGTGTGGTTCAGTGGTTGAGCATCGACCTATGAACAGGAGGTCACAGTTCAATTGTCGGTCAGGGCACATATTCGGGTTGTAGGCTTGATCCCTAGGGAGGTGTGCAGGAGGCAGATGATCAATGATTCTCTCTCATCACTGATGTTTCTCTCTCTCTCTTCCTCTCTGAAATAAAAATATATTTTTTAAAAAATGGGGAGGAGGCTATTACTGGCAGTAGGTAGAGAGAGGTCATCCAGGGATGATGCTAAACATCCCGCAAAGGACCGTTCCCACAACAAATAACCAGGCCCCAAATATTGCAGTGCCAAGGCTGAGAACCCAAGTCTGGACCCCTGGTTTTGGAGTTAGACAGAAGGGGCTTCAACCAGGGCCCTGTTCTTCACTAGCTCTGTGACCTTCAGCAATTACTTAACTGCTATTTCCAATTTTATAAAATAACACCTTTCTCAGAGTGTGAGGATGACATGAAATAATGAACTTAGCACAGGGGCAGATGATCAAACACTGTGGTCACTCCTGAGGTTATCCCATTGAATTCTCATTCTCTGCTTGACAGAGGTGTCTTACCCGCACCGAGAAGAGGTTCAGAGAGGCCGTGTAACTTGTCCTAAGGCAAACCAACAGCCTCTGGAAGAACTGTACTGTTTCTTAATTAAGCAAAAGCCCACCACATTCCGTGAACAGGGACACCCCAGACCCGGTGGCGAGGTCTATTCCACACGCTGACGTCTACACGTGGATTACTTCCCTTTACAGGAATCTCTACAGTCAGTGCCCTCTCAAGGCTCCCCTTTTCTCTGCACTTGCAATGTCTGCTCAGGTGACCCGCCCTCACCTGGACTCCTGCGAAGGAGTATTTGACTCCCCTGGTCTCCCTCACTCCCTTCAGTCCGGCCCAAACTCGACTTCCCCAGGTACAGTTCTACTCAAGTTCTGCCGCTGCTCGGAACCCCTTCCTCCCCACGGGGTAACAGTGGGGCATGCAAGGGCCCCCATCTTTGGAAACAAGTGTAACTTAAAGTGGATTGTGCGCTCTCCCCCTACAGCGCCATGCCATTTCCTGCCCAGGTCTTTGCTTTGACTCGCTTCCCTTTTCCAAAATGCTGGCTCAATTTCATTTAAAACACGACTCCATCCCTAGTCAGAAGCCACCTCTATCAAACCCTCCAACTTGTATCTGCATCCCCTCCAGGCAGTGGTGAGACTGCTCACACACCGCCTTGTATGTTGGTTCCTGGTGTCCATTTCCAACTATTAAGGCAGCATTTTCTTCCTTAAGGGTCTACTACATTGAAATTTTTTACGACACTGCCTGCAGAAAAAGCCATGCATAAAAGTAATAATAAAAAAATTGAAATGCTTTGTAAATGACTACGCCTTTAGGGCTGTTGCAGGCACACTGGCTGAAGATGAGGCCTCAGGGTCTGAATATACGTCCAGGTGACCTGAGAACACTTTCTCTGCATCTTACGACGAAAAAAACACGGGGCCGCCAGGCCGCTGGGCGGAAGGGACCAGCGAGACGCGGGCACCCCGCCCGGGATCTAGAGCTGCCCCACCCAGCTCGGAAAGGCGCCTGCAGCTCCCCCTAACCCCTAAGACCTACACGGCCTCCCTCAAATCCTAGGAGCGGGGTGCGGGGCTGCACACGAGAGGGATCCCCTCGGCCTTTCCCCGAAGCACATGGCAGACCGCTCCTCGACTGGCGCAGGCGCAGAGGCCAGGGTTCGGCCACTTCCTTCATCCCAGCGTCCGTGTGTCCCGGTCCCGTTACCTTGAGAGCCTCCAGCCCCATAAGACGAGTCTTGCGGTCCTGATCCTTGATGATGAGGAAAGGGCGCCCATATTCATCGAAGGCGAGAGTCCCGAAGGACGCCATGGTTCTGCAGCTGGGGCGGCTTCCCCACAACCGGCGGAGACCACTCCGGAACCCAGAACGCACCTTCCGCTCGCGGGCGGGCTCAACAGCTCGCGCATGCGCAGAGCGGCCTGCGTGAGACTTATTTTTCACTTGAGACTAGTTTCATGCCAGACAGTACTTTCTGGAACCGGCGGCCTTCGGAAATGTCTATCATCTGGGAAGCTGTGGGGGGGTTCGATGTCACAGACGGGAACTTGGGAACCCACAGTCGAGAGTAGGCAGAAATTAGTAATTTCGTGAAGTTATACAACGGAGAGTTTCTGGTGGTGGACCCCCAAAAGGAACCCATTTACTTAGAGCATTTTTTCCCCTCCCTCCCTCCTACCCCGACTTCAAGATGGTATAATCCACTTCCGGGTTTTTTGCTTCACTGCCGGAAATCTCGCGATGGAAGGAGGAGGAGGAGGTGAGGTTGGCCGTGCATGGCGGGCTCCTTGGGAGCTGGCGTAGATGCAGGCGCGCCGTGGGGCTCATGGTCGGTCGCCGGGGGTCTCCTCCCCCCAGCACCGCGGGAGTGGGAGCAGCTGTTGTTGGGTGCACAGTTTCCAATCAGGCCCTCCGTGCCCCTCCTTCCTTCGGGGCCTGCCCGGGAGCCGGATCTCGGGTCCGGGGCTGCGGGTGCCTTTGCTGGTATCTAGCTGCCAGGAACTGTCCCCCCGCGCCTTAAGGCGAATAAGTCACGCAGTGCTGGGCACGATCTTAATGTGACAGCGGTACTGGGGTCACACTGTCTGGCTGGGAATCGCAGTCCTGCCTTTTGACTGGCTGTGTCTCTGGGGCAGTAATTTTAATCCGCTCTCTGCCCCAGTTTCCTTGTCTGCAAAAATGGCAGTAACATTGTAGTACCTACCTTACACAGCTGCTACACAGACTCGGGGAGAACAGTGCCTGGATCTTAGCAAGCTCTGCCTGAGTGTTTGCCCGTTTTGTGAAAACGGGCCAGTAACTTGCCCTACGTCACACAACTGGCTAGTAAGTAAAATGGCACAGCCTTGCGCTCAGGGTCCCGCTCTGAAGCCCTGCGGCTGCTGCCTCGGAAAGCGCTCTCCTGGCAGCCCTAGCTAAGTGGTACCCGGTCCTCTGCATCCCTTACACTGCGGTCTCTTTAGAGCACTGGTCATGGCTAAATACACTGAGTGGCCAGATTATTATGACCACCTGACATTTGTAGGCAAATTAGCTATAATTTCGCGCTGAAGTTGCTAGAGGGCCAGATCAGTATAAACGTCTGAATAGCACAACATGTCTTAGTATCGTTGCTGATCAGGTTCATCCTATCATGTTGATGGCGTATCCCAGTGGAGATGGCTTCTTCCAACAAGAAGACAATGCGCCATGCCACGGTGCTCGTATTGTGCAGGAGTGGTTTTAAGAACATGAGGGAGACTTTACCTTGCTTAGGGGGCCCCCACAATCACCAGATCTCAATCCAATCGAGCATTTGTGGGATGAAGTTAAAAGAGCCATCAGGCAGCTGGTTCCACAACCGTCAACTCTCACAGAACTGGACAGTGCTATTCATCAGACATGGTGTGAGATTCCTTGCATCACCTTTCAGCATCTCATGGAGTCAATGCCAAGAAGAATCTCCACAGTATTGAAGGCAAAAGGTGGCCCAATGAAGTACTGATGGGGTGGTCATAATAATCTGGCCACTCAGTGTGTGTTATGGACTATTTGTTACGGGGTTCCAGCCTCCCTGCACCCCAACTGCCAAAGAACACGGACTTACCCCTGTTGTATGAGTCCTAGTCTTTATCAGATACTCAGATGCTGAAATGAATGAATGAGCTAGTTATACATGAGTAACCCTCCCTGAAAGTGGAGAACTGGCTTTGTCACTGGAGGGTTGGCGGTCATTTAACCTCCCCTAATGCATGGCTCACTTATTCTCAAGACAGTGATGATCCAAGGCCATTTTAGATTTTGGAGTCAGGTCTCAGTTCCCTTTAACTTGGCCAAGACAACATTTTCTTATTCAAAATGGTGAATTCTGCAATTTCTATTTCCTGTTAAAACATTGGGGGAAAAGGGGTTTTTCCTAGTATCATTAGGTGCTGTATAACCGAAGGATACAAATGACGTTAAAGCAGTATAAGAAAGGCTTCTTAAGGACCAAAAAAATATGTTAGAGGGACATGAAGTATATGCTATAGTTTTTCAACTGGTATGTGAATGTAAGAATACAACAGGCCTCAAATACTGTGACATTAAAATATAAACTCCAGTTTAAACACATGTGGCAGATCACAATTCCAAACAGGCTTGTCCTTGTTTTCTGGCCCTTTCCCTTTTGCTTGAACTTAGATGAGAACCCTGTCTACCTTTTTTTTTGTGCATGTAAGTCACTACCTCTACTGTTAAGTGACCCAGATCTGTCCCTGGACATTTTCACTCATTATCAGAAATCAGTAACTAGGCAAGTGTGGGGACACCGAAGTTCATCTCTTTGAGATCGTTACTTTCTTCTTTTTTAAAAAAATGTTTTATCTCTTTGGCTCATCTGGAGATTGCCATTTTTAAAAAATATTTTTAATTGATTTTAGATAGGCAGGGAGAGGGAGAGAGAAACATCAACGATGAGAGAGAATCGTTGATTGACTGCCCCCTGCACGCCCCGCACAGGGATTGAGTCTGCAACCGGGCATGTGCCCTGACTGTGAATCCTGACCTCCCCAGGTCAGTGTTCAACCACTGAGCCGCGCCGGCTGGGCAAATTCTTTACTTTCAAGGACTGATTCCCTCCAAGTGCTCAACAAAAACAGCCAGTGGCCACCATAGCTCTTATCTAATGGAATGGCTGAGTGTAGAAGTCTTTGTCATCTATTTATATCATAATAAATAATCTTAGGACAAAACACGTTCCATTGAAAGGGCCTGAAATTTGTAGAGATGATCTTGATTTTTGTTTTGAATCTTCAGGGACTGTTTTCACTGATAAAAGTAAAAATATTTTTTGAGTGGAAGTAACAGTGTAGCTATATATTGGATTTACACAGTAACTTCAAAAACTCATACAAGTTTCTGTTAAGTTAATAGACTCGTAGGTGCAAAAACTTGTGACAGGAAATTCAGTGAGTTCATCAAGAGATACACTGCTGCCATTGTTGCCTTTCTTAAAGACACAGATAGTGTAGTGACTTTGCTAAAAAACTTTCATCCCAGGGCACAAGAGTAAAACACACATTTAGCCTGCCGTCAAGGTCTCACGTTTGCCTTCCCATGCTATCTGCCACTCCTAGCCAATGGCTCCCCAGTTTTATGCCTTAGTTCCGAGGCTTCCTTCTCTTGCTAATATTCTTTTTCCATCAGCCTCATGCACCGCTCAAATTCTGTCTGTCAACATCTTCCGGTTCCATCATTGGAATCAATCTTTCCTCCACCTTCCCCTATTTTCCCACAGCATTTTCTACACCTTATAGCATCTCTTAACAACCTGCTCGTGTATGTCTCAACTGGAGCTCTTTATATCTTTTGCTAATTAAATTGAAGGGTACAAATCTACACAGGTGAATTAGAACTTGGGTTGTCTAATGGACTGTCTTCTGGCTTATGCTAACTAGAGAAACTGTCCATTAATGGACAAATGGATAAACAAAATGTAGTCTATACATACAAGGGAAGGGGGTAGGGGGTAGGGCGGGAAGAATTTTATATACATACTAGAGGCCCGGTGCATGGATTCGTGCACCGGTGGGGTCCCTCGGCCTGGCTTGTGGGGATTGGGCCGAAACTGGCAGTCCGACTTACCCCAAGGGGTCCCGGATTGCGAGAGGGTGCAGGCCAGGCCTAGTTTGTCTATAAAAAGGAATAAAGTGCTGATACATGGTAGAACCTAGATGAATCTTAAAAACATGCTAAGTGAAAGAGGCCCATCACAAAAGACCACATACTATATGATCTCACTCCTATGAAAGCCCAGAATAGGAACTCTAGAGACAAAGTAGATTAGTGGTTTCTTAGGACTAGGGAGTGAGGGGGAGGATAGAGGGGTGGTGATTAAAGGTTAAGGGGTTTCTTGAGGCATTGAAAATGTTCTAAAATTGACTGTGACATATCTATAAATACACTGAAAATCTTTGAATTGTACACATTAAATTATATGGTATACTAGTGTCCCCATGCATGGATTCGTGTACATTGAAAGGAAATTAATTAGAAAAAATATTTTAATATCACTATTCACCCTTTCTCTATAATAGAAGTGTCAACTAAATTCATGATCAACAATGACAGATCAAAACACGCGTGCAATTGGCGCCAGCAAGAGCTTTATATGTATGGTGCATGCGCAAGTCAACTTAGCCTTTTATATATATTGAATACATTTGCTTAATTAGACCTGCTTTCTGATTTAGCTAAACTTTTTCCAGCCCAGTGAAGTACCCCAACTTCTCTTTCAGGTAATTGTCAGCAACACAGCAATAAATATCAACACGAAGCAGATTATTATCAGATTATTATTGTAGATCAGCAGGGAGAACAAAGGGTAAAATTTTTAACTACAGCAGTGTTTGACTATATTCTGCACAGTGAGAAAACCTGAAGTCATTTTCAAGTTCCACCATTTCTTACTTCTTTTCAGTTGGGTCAAGTTTCTAAACTTTCTAAATCTCTGTTTTCCAGCTAATGAAAAGAAAATAGGATTCTACAGAGTCTCCTATCTACCTACTCCAGGACTTCTGTGAGGACCAAATGAGATGAGGCACATGAAAATGCTTCACAAACATTTGGTCAAACTATAAAATGTTTGCACCTGGCTATAAAGCAAGTCGGGGTCTTGGGCTAAAGAAACTCCAAGGAGGCTAGTCGCTAGGGAGAGGAAGTTGGGGGCTGCTACATGACATCATTACCTGGTGCCCACAGCGACCATTTCCAGGTTCGGTTGGGCTGTGGGCCGCATTTTGCACCATGGGGTCTTGGCAGCATTTGCTGCAATTTGGTGGGATGTCACTCTGGGGTGGTGGCAGGGCCTGTGCCCCACTTCGGGGAAGCTGAGTGTTGGTTTGTCAGTGCCAGGTCCATGGTGCTGTTTATTTTTAAATGGCCAATGTGCATCATGGCAGCTCCTGCATTGAGCGTCTGCCCCCTGGTGGTCAGTGTGTGTCATAGCTACCAGTCGGAGGGAAGGGCAGATACTTAGCCTTTTATATATATAGATGAACTATATCTCAAGAAAGTTGTTAAAAATTACTGATCCCCCCTCTCCCCCATGATGGTATTGAGAATAATAATAGTAGCTACTGCTTGCTCATCACTTACTGCTTGCTCTCAATCTAGGTACACCCCTGGAAACACTTAAAGAAGAAGGTCAGCCAGGATATGTTCTACCTACAAGTCTTGAAGCCAATGGTTTGAAGAAGAACAGTTGGGGCTTCTTAATTACTGGGATTGTTGGTGGGACACTGGTGGCTGTGTATGCTGTGGCCACTCCATTTATAACACCGGCCCTCCGAAAAATTTGCTTGCCTTTTGTACCCGCAACTACAAAGCAGATCGAAAATGTTGTGAAAATGTTGCAAAGCAGAAGAGGACCTCTGGTGGACATTGGCAGTGGCGATGGTCGGATTGTGAGTTATGCTAAGACGTTTTAAGGTTTGGAGTCAGAATTGTTAATATTTCTCTTTCACATTTCTTATGAGGTTTATGCAAAACTTGCTAAACCTGACATTTTAGTAAAGTGGTCATTTCATTTTGTGTTTGTTTGGCTAAACTATCAAACCCTCCAGCATGAATGAATTTGGAATGTAATTTTCTCAGGTTTAATTTTTTTTTTTAGAGGAGAAAGTGCTCTGTAGATATGCCAAGTAAAAAATAACCAATAATTGGTAATTATGAAAGTGCCTGTTAAGAAATGGGCTAATAGAGGTGGCATAACTAGAAGAAACATGGAGTCTCACTGTTTTACATTTTGCACTATAAATGTTTGTTTCTACACTTATCTATACTTACACGTGTATAGTTCTTATGGGGTAACATAGAGTTAAAATAATGCCCACTGTTTGAAAGGGAAAGATCAGCCTTTTAGTGACCTCAATCTCCCCCCTCCACCCCTTCATCCTTCCACCCCTCCACCCCCATGGGAAGCTGTTTAACTTACTCAGGGCCACTGATTGGCAAACAGGTGTCCCAAATCAAGTTCCTCCATGGACAATGATGAGCTGAAAAGTGAGGTAGCAGTAGTCAAGGCTGGTCTTCTGGAAACATTTAGTGTGGAGACGAGCAGGCCATGATGCTTTCGCTAGCCCCTGGCCACATAGACCCTGCAGTTTCATCATGGTGACCAGGAATAAGCAGTAAGAGGTTAGAAAGTGCCTTGTGTTTTTAAGAAATGAGATATATATGTTAATCAGGAGGACATTTTAAAATCCAGATTTGAATGCTTTGCATGTGCGAATAGTATCTTTTTGGTTTCTCAGAAAATGGTGTGTCTTTAAATGGTGTCTTGAACAAAGGAGGTGCCTTTTGATTGTTTTTTTATGATTATAGACCATAAATAGGAAATATTCATATCATTTTCCCAGGTAAGTTGCTTTTCTTTTTTATTTATTTTTATAATGTATGTATTTTTATTGTTGACAGTATTACACTGTCTCCCATTTCCCATCCCCCTCTCTACCCACCTCTGTCCAGCCCCTTCCCATTCCCTCAGGTCTTTACCTCCCTATTGTCCGTGTCCACGGGATGTTTTTCTTTTTATCTTGAATAAATACAGGCCTCTTTCTGCAGGTGATAGCAGCAGCAAAGGAAGGATTCACAGCTGTTGGCTATGAATTAAACCCATGGCTAGTTTGGTACTCCAGATACCGTGCATGGCGAGAAGGGGTACAGCACTTGGCCAAATTTCATATTTCAGATTTGTGGAAGGTATGTAAGGCAGAGAGCAGTCCTAGGAAACTCAAACCGAAACTTTCTAATTCATAATTAGTATTGCAAACTGAAAAATGTATAAGAGAAAAAGAAATAAAATACAGGTGTACTTTAGCATAATGAAATATGAACACCTTATAAATGGATAGGTTTGCAAATTGACTACTTTAGAGTATAAGCTTAAGGTTTAAGATTTTTAAAATCTCATTTGGAAATCTTATAAATTGTAACATAGGCATTCACTGATTAATATTGTTCTTGGTAAATGAGAGACTTTCGTGTGTGTGTGTATGTTGTGTGTGTGTGTGTGTAGAGAGAGAGGCAGAGACAGGTGCAAAGAAAAGAAAGAATCTACCAACTGTGCTGTTACGGACCATCCTGGTCTTCATAAAGTGCAAGATACTTCAAAGTTTATTTGTACTCTAAAAAAATTGCCCTGTAATTTTGCTTTAGGAATGCTCCATAAAATGCTTTTTCTTGAATAAGAATTTTCCTTTGTAATGGTGTCATCAGTAGCCTATAAAAATTTACTTGAGTTTTTGCTTGCATTTTTTATACCATATATACATAAATGATCTCTCGGTAGAGTAAATAAGACTTTTATAGGGCAATAAGAATTTTGACTGGCAAAGCACTTTTCCCTCTAGCTTTTCAACTAAAGACCACTTTATTGCATTTTTTACTTAGTATTTTAGAGAAGAGGATTGGGACTAGAATTTTAAGGATGGTTCAACATAAAAAACCAGTAGTCTGAGATCCCTTGAGTTCTTGCAAAGCTACTTTGGTGTAGAGTAGAGTAGGAAAGTGTGGACCAGGGCCACAGATGGCCCAGGGCCAGCTGGCTCAGCCACCAGCTGGTCATTGGTGAGTCTTTGGTGTTTCTGACGGATGACAGATGACCCCTGGGGCAGGCCCTTCGTGGAGTTGCTCTGAGGATGAGATGACTTATGGGGAAGCATTTGGAAAGCTGGTGGATTGAACTAAAATGCACAAACGTGTGCACATGGTATTTTTTCCTTTGTGAAATCTAAAAGGGGCCACTCTGTGAAAACCTATGATTTGGTGAAATGTAAAGTTGCTACTCATCTTGAAACAAAAGTTAAGCTGGGTGTTTGGCTTTTAAAAATTAATCTATGAATCGTTTCCTCTCTTTTAGGTTACTTTTTCGCAGTACTCAAATGTCGTTATTTTTGGGGTGCCTCAGATGGTGAGTATGCCCTCTCCTGTCCCTTGTATGTTTTGTTTTAGGTTATGAAGGCCCTTACAGCTGTAACAGACCACCTCTCTATGGCCTGCTCACCCAAATGCAAGGTGACTGCCTCCCAGATAGTCTGAGGGGACACGGGGTTTCAGTTTATTGGTAAAAGGTTAATCATCAAAGATTCAGTGTTATCTTTAAACTCTTGCTTCCGATAAAATCTCAATTATCCATCTAAGCCCTAAAAATTCCAGTCTGAAAACTGCTTCATGAGCGTGCAGTGTCTAATGTGGCTGGAGATTTTCACGGTCGCTCACTTCCATCCAGCTGAAATCACTCGGGAAAGTTAATGGGATGTTCCCTTTGAATTGATCACCCCTCTGATTTTGCACTCAGATGATTTTCAGGGCAGATGAGCGCTGACTAGTTTTAATTGACCTCAGATGACTGATTCGTTCTGAGCTTTGATTATCTACTTTCCAAAGTGAAAGTACCGCAGCATTGCACTGAAAATGGTCCTAAATTTAGCCTTTGGAAAGATGACCAGAATGGGATGCGTTTGTTGTAATTGTTGGTTTACAGACCATGGAAAGAAATCCCGGTTCACTTTTCAAAGTCTGTAATTGTAGCCATAATAGTCTTGGCGAAATTGGATGTTTCCTGAAATACACTATAAAACTGATATGGTTTTCAGTTAAAAGAACGGGAAAATTTTTTTTCTTTTGGTGTTTTTTTTTTTTAATTCACATCTTAGTTGTTGTACAAGAAGTTTTAATGCTTAAGAAATTTATCCTCACCACTAGACTCTTTAGTGCAATGCCATTTTCTTTCTTTTTTCTTTTTTTTTTTTTGCCATTTTCTTTTATTTTTGAAAGTCAATTTAGAAGGGTTTTGTTATATATTCTTGAAAGTAACAGAATTCTATATGTTTGTAATTTTCGGCAAGCCTACATATAGCTGAAACCTGGGTGTCTACAGGTTTGTTATAGAAATGAAAAGAGGTAGAAGGGCATGATCCTTGGCCATTAAAAAGAAAGCAAACCAAAACTATTCAGGACCATAGGATTGCTATGGAATTTGATATTTACTAATTATTCCTTCAGAATAATTAGCATTTGGAGGCAAATAACTTTAATTTGAAATCCAAGCTTTCCAAAAATAGAAATTGATATTTATTCAGCTTCCACGCAGTGTGGAGAGGCTGGATGATGGCCTGAGATGTGGACTTATGAAGCCACAGCCGCTGTGTCCCTGTGGGGGGCAGCAGTGGCCTTCGGTAGTCACTGTCACTGCATAAACTGTGGGCTCCGACTCCTTGAGCTTCTCTGACTTATTTGAAGTATGGTCAGCTTTTGGAGCTGTTCACCCAGAGGAAATAAGAGTCCTATTATTTTGATGGATGCTTCTGCAATTATTGTCCTTTCTTCTGTACACGGAGACATTCTTAAGTAAGGAACTTGTAGTATTGCACTATTGCCAAGAAAATTGGGAGCAGCTGAAATGCAGGCAGCACCCACACTCCTGGAATGGCAGACTCAGCCACCTAGCAGGTTCTCATGCAGGTGGAGCAGTCACAGGTACAGAGGCCCCAGGTGGCATCTGTTGGCCTGGAGGCCCAATTTCAGGAGTGGAGGGCCCTGCTTTCCGCCCTTATCAAACTTTGCTTACGTGGAGGATGTGAGCGGGGAGGGAGAGCATTGGCTGGGGATCCAGGGGCCAGGTCTGCCCTCAGTGAGGTGAGTCTTGTGAGTCCTGAAAAGTCCTTTTATCTATCTGGGCCTTATCATTCACTCTTCTATTAAAATGCATTTCCCTTCCCTGAGCACTGGTCAGTATTCTGGTCATGCCCTGGTGGCTCAGCACAGCCAGTGTGGTATGAAATGTTTCCCGGGGCAGCTGAAGCACACACAGGTCATGAGAGAGCCAGGAGGACCCTTAGGGAACTTCAGAAGTAGAAACCCTAGCGTTATAAATCCTCACTCTGCTTCTGATAGTGGACTGATTATTCCCAACAACTCTTTGCAGTCATAGCTCGAAATTAGCGGTGCCCTAACATTTCAACACTGGTGTGTGTCTGAATTATGGGAGTGAGGAATCCCACTGGACCTGGTAAATCCTGTAGTAGGTTGTAAATTCCCACATTTAAGACTAGCTTATCCACCAAGAGAATCTTTTGAAAATGTGGAACAGATCATGTGTGTCCTTGTTTAAAACCCTTCTGTGGCTTCCTGCTGCTTAAAAGCGGTGAGGATAAGGCCTAAACCCTCCGCATGGCCCCGAGGCCTGGCTTGGAGTGGCCCCTGCTTCCTTCAGCTGCCTGTGCCAAGCCCCTGTTTTCCTCTCGGGCCCTGGGCTTTGCCGTGTGTGTGGCTGTGTCCTTCCTCTGATTCCAGTCCCCCAGCTCAGGGCCTAATTGGTGAACACCTGTTGACCACTCATGGTCCAGTGGCTTTTCCACTGAGAATGGTCCCTGATCGCCCCATGGCACAAACTCCAGTGTCCTCTATTTTTCACTCGTACAGTGCCTGTTGCCTCTCCTTACGCGAGTCATTGCACATTTCCCGTGTGATGGTGTTGGCAGCGTTTGCAGTGGGCACTGTACTACCAGCTCGAGAATGAAGGCTGGCTTGTCTTCGCGCCGGACCTCCAGCATGGCAGCACCCAGCAGAGGGCAATCACCCCACCGGAAGTATTTGTTAAATGAATGAATAAATATGGTATAAATACCCATTAAGTACACTTCCTCCAGTGGGCTAGTCAATTTCATAACTTCAAAGAATGACTAATTTAATTTTAGTTGTGAATCCTGTTTTGAATTGATGAATGAAAATATTATCAGCATGTTCTGATGAAGAAAAACCATTCATGACTGAATTATTTATTCTTCATTCATTTATTTGACCAGTATTTATTCAGGGCCCACTTGGAATACCTTAGTGAATAAAGGAGAAACACATCCCTGCCCCAGGTGCTAATATGCTAGTGGGGAGGCAGAGATCGGGATGCTTATATAAAATATATCGAGCAAGAGAGAGGATATGTGCTGTGGGGCAAGCTAAAGCAGGAGAGGGATGGAGCAGAGACAGTGTTCCTGAAAAGGGGATATTGGAGGTGAGCGTGGGAGCTGTGTGTCTGTCCGGAAGAAGGGAATAGCATTTCAAACAGGAACAGCCACTTTAAGGAAGCTGAGATGTGTGTGCCTGTTGGGTTCCAGGAGCTTCAGGGAGGCGGGTGTGGCAGGGGCAGGGTGAGTGAGGGGAGCTGGGGAGAGGTGAGGTCAGAAAAAGTAGAGCTGGGATGAGAAGGACCCTGGGCCCTTGTAAGGCGGTAGTGGTCGTGGGTTTGAGCAGAGGCATGGAGGATCGAAGTGGACTGGGGCTGAAAAGGATCATAGGCTGCCCTGGGTGAGAAAGAGCAGTCAAGGTCGGCTCCCAGGTGTTTGGCCTGAGCAACTGGAAGTTGCCATTAGTGAGCTGGGAAAAGTGCAGGAGGAGTGGCTTGGAAGATCAGGAATTCCGGCTGGCATGTGATGTGTGAGATGTGTGTGGGAATTTCAGGTTGGTAGTGGTGGATAGTGGGGTCCGGGGCTCAGGAGAGAGGGCTGGAGATCCGGTTTTTAGGCACCAGCGCCCAGAGGGAGTTGAAGCAGAGGAGTGGCTGAGGTCACTCATGAAGGGGAAGAGCCCTCCAAGGCCTGAGCCCTGGCCTCTGACTGATGAGGGGCACTCAGCAAAGGATTGGAGAGGAGGGCCTGGGAGGTTGGAAGTGAGGGTGGGCAGGGCTGTTACCTGGAAGGCAAGTGAAGGCAGTGCCTTAGGGAAGAGGGGTGATGAAGGGGTTCCTAGCTGCCTGTGGCCATGCTAATTTGTCTGATATGCCTTTGCGCTGGTTTCAATTTATGTTTAAAGTTTTGAAGATGTAATTAGAATAGAATATGATGAGTTCGTGTCACTTTGAAACCTATAATTGTATGAATAAGTTTGAATTCCATTAGACATACATGACATATCACAGCTTCTTTTTGTGTGTGATATCAAGACCCTGATTTGTTGCATATTTATGTGTAATTTAGTCAGTTAATTTCTTATGATTGAAATAGCTCCCTTTCATTTTTAGGTTTATCTTGACTTAGCATATGACATTTGGAAATAAAAGAGAAAAGAATAATGATAATGTGAATACATTTACAATTATCCTTTTTATGAACAAAATTACCATAAGAAACCCCTGATATTTTGGAAAAAGATTCTTTGCTTATTTAATTTTTCCCTCAAGGAACAAAACTTTTTTTTTTTTTTTTATAAACTCATCTTTTCCTGGCTGTTAAAAGAATAGAAATATTTCATCCTTAATGGAACTTATTCTCTGTTATCTTGGTATTGATGCTAATGAAGAATTAAATCCTGGCTCACGTAGCCATACTAGTACATCATGTAGAGGAGTTTTTCCAAGCTACTTCTTAAAGGTATAAAACCTTCATAGAAGTACTGTCAATTTTTTTGTCTCTACTTACTTTAGAACTTGATTTCTAAATACCATTTCCCACTCAGAGGAACCAGGAATGTTTGAGAAATGGCTGATCCTAGGGCTGAGGAAGGGAAGATACAAAAGGCCAGGGCTCAGCACATTTTTGTTGAGCCCGAATGTAAGAAAGTGCTCAAGATATTTGATGGGGGCATGTCCAAAGGAAAGAGCGGCCAACCTGGGATGATTTGAGCACTAGCATAAATGGGACGGAGGTGGATTATCACCCGTTGAATGAAGTAATCTGGTTCATCCTACAGTGATAGCGAGCTAGGTAGAAAGAGAGAAGGGAAAGCTGTTTCTTGCAGTAGAAAGTACAATTTCATCTAGAAGGAATGATGGGATTAGCAAATCCATACTTTGCAACCATTATAGCAAACATTGACTCAGGCCAGAATCATCAGTGAATAGTACATCTCGTGGGGGGTCAGCTTGGTGAATACTAGGGTATGTACGTCCGCTCAAGGTATTTCCCCACAAATTATTCATTATAAAGGCAAAATGGTGACCACACTCTGGAGACACCAGATACCATCTCAACTGAGTGGTGACCACCACCCTCAAAGCAGGAGGACCCCCTGGGCATCTCATCTGACTGTGGGGCCCTGAGATGTTCACAGCCCCACTTATGGGTCATTGCCAAGGACTCCCAGGCTGAGTCATCACGAGCAAATGTCAGAGGAACTTGGAGGCCCTGGGAAAATAACTGGCCCATGTTGTAAAGCAGGGGTCCTCAAACTACGGCCTGCGGGCCACATGCAAATACAGATATTGTATTTGTTCCCGTTATGTGCAGTGTGCATAGGAATTTGTTCATAGTTTTTTTTTAAACTATAGTCCGGCCCTCCAACAGTCTGAGGGACAGTGAACTAGCGCCCTGTTTAAAAAGTTTGAGGACCCCTGGTGTAAAGGGTGTTATTGTCATGAGACGCAAAGAAACATGGAGGGGCTGTTCAGATTAAAAGAGACAAGGAGCCCTAGCCGGTTTGGCTGAGTGGATAGAGTGTTGGCCTGTGGACTGAAGGGTCCCAGGTTCAATTCTGGTCAAGGGCACATGCCCAGGTTGCAGACTTGATCCCCAGCAGGGGGCATGCAGGAGGTAGCCGATCAATTATTCTCTCATCATTGATGTTTCTATCTCTCTTCCTCTCTGAAATCAATAAAAATATATTTAAATAAATAAATAAAAGAGACAAAGAAACATTACAGCTAAATGCAATGTGGAATCCCAAACTGGGGGAAAGTCCAAGTTGAGACATTTGACAAAATTGGAATGTTACTATTGGAATTATTTTATTGGAGTATAATGCTAAATTTTCTGAATGTGGTACCTATGCCGGGGTTTTTTTTTTAGAAAATATTTTCTTAGAAAACGTTGTACTATCCTATATAATAAAAGCCTAATATGCAAATTGTCCCCTCAACCAGGAGTTTGACCGCTCTCTATAATGTGCACTGACCGTCAGGGTGTGGTGCAGAACATGGCAGGCGTCAGCAATGCGCTGCGACCTCTCGCCGGCTACCTGGGGGCAAGGGTGATGGGGACAAAGGTACAGTGAGAATGTGGGGTGTCTGCTGAGCTCTCTCTCACTCCCCCTGCTACCCTCCCCTGGGATGCCGGGGCTCGCGCGCCGGGAAGCCCCTGCGCTCAGGTGCCGGGCGCCCCGCACCCGTGTGGTGTCTTCTGGTGAGCTGGGCCGCAGCTGCTGGGACCGCAGGGGCTGGGTGGGTTCCCTGTGGGTTCATGCAGGAGCTGGTCAGTGAGGCCGATTGGGAGAGAGTGCGCTGCCCGTCTGGCTTCATGCGGCACCACTGGGCAGCCCAGAGGCCCACGCTGCTCTCCAGCCTGTGGCATCTGGCTGTGCTCACTGCATCTCTGTGTGGGAACTCGGGCGCTGTGACTCAGGTGGAGGTGGGGCGTGTGGGGGCCCTGGGACCCAGGTGCTGCCTAGGGCCCGCCTAGGGCCCAGAGGTCAGCTGGAACCTGCCCTTCCAAGCCAGATGCTCATGCTTCCATGGCTGGCCAGGCCTAGGGATCACATCTGTGCATGAATTTTGTGCTTTGGGCCTCTAGTCAAGGAATAAAGGAGCATGTTGTATGCAACCTATTCTCCAATTAGAAAACATGTTTATGGAGAGGGGAAGAGGGCAAATCTGGTAAAGCAAATGTGACAAATTTTCCTTGCAACTTCTCTGTAAATTTGAAATTATTTCAAAATAAAAAGGAGAGTGAAAAAATATTCTCAGGAGGTGAAGGTGGTAATCTGTTTTTAGGACTTGAAGATAAACTTTAAGTGATTGCTAATTTGCTGATATAATTACAATGTTATTATTTTTAGCAAACAGTAAAATGCTTTCTCTATAGGTAGATTGGCAGTACCATAAGATGAAAAGAGAATTTTACAGTTTATTTGTTATGTTGACTATCAAAAAATCAATTACAGTATATTTTTAAAACTATAAGCTATTATATTTCAAGTTGGTAGAGTATGTATTTTTATAGTCTTATCATTCTATATTTCCTTGAATCTAGATGCTATTGATTTTAAGATGCATTTTTGCTATTGAGAAAGAAAAAATATTGCCAATTATAATTCTAAGACAATGTCAATGGTAAGTTGTTAAAAATGTGGAAAAATATGTTAAATGGTTGAGACAGAGTAGATTGAAATGTTTAGATAAATAATTTAAATCTGCTTCTCATTTTAATGATTGCCACATCGTGATTTTAGTTAGAAAACGAGAAATCTATGATACATATCTGCTAAAAATGACATATTTCATAATTGATACTAGAAGATGTCTTTATAACTGTTGTCAATGCGACTTCTGTTTTTTGATGGATTGTTTGATAATGTACTTCTGCCCTGAAGTGGTCTTTATTGCAATTAGAAGTTTTTGCACAGGTATTTTCAGGGACTCAAATACAGAAGGACATTTGAGAATCAATAGTGACTGCCGTTCTCCACAGATGCTGCAGTTGGAGAAGAAACTTGAACTTGAACTTGAGAGTGATGCTAGAGTCATCGCTTGCCGGTTCCCTTTCCCACACTGGACCCCCGCCCAGGTCACCGGAGAGGGGATAGACACTGTGTGGGTTTATGACATGAGTATGTTTAAAGGGAGTGAGAAGAGGCCCTGAAGATTGATGCATTTCCAGTCGGTCGTTCGAATATAAAATTTATTGAGAGTCTTTTTCTGTAGTGTTGGTGGTCTTTGATTTTATAGAGACTTATAGCTGTGTGTTTAGCGAAGAGTATATTTTTGTTTGGCATGGCATGAGAAATTATTGTTACTTCCCTTACTTTTTGGAGAAAACAAACAAGTTAAGAATAGCAGGTAGATTTAAAGTTCCCTTTCATGGTATATTTTAAAAAATGTGCTTATAGCTTTTCATGCACTTAGATGTGTGAAAATATGGATAAGTGATAGATGTTGATGGGTGGGAAAGATATGGATAGCTCTTCACATGATAAAGAATATGATTTAATGCCACAGATGAGAGAAAACAATTTTAAAGAGGTACGTATTAGTAAATGTTTGCAGTTTCCTATAACTTTACTCGTACTCAAGATTTGTCTTTCTTCTTTATACATCATGACAAAATTAATTTTATAAGGGATTTAGAGAGGCATTTATATTTTATAATATTTATTAGGAATATTTTGTTTCTAGGCTAGTAGATGACTGTATTTTATTGACTCTAAGATGTATATGTATGTGTATACATATTTTAATGTTTCTGAAATTGAGAGGTTTCTTTCGACAGATGGTGTTTTATAGCTGTAATGGCAGCATTGTACCTAGTCAACTACCATTGATAGATCTCAGAGTTGATGAAATAGGGTGTTCAGAAAAGATACATGATGCAGTGGAGTGGTTGGCAATGATTTAATAGTAAAATAAGTGATCATGAGCTTCGGAGGGAGCCGGACCTGGGTTCAGATCCTTGCTGGACCCTCAGCAGGAGGCCTTGGACAGTGGCTTAGACTCTCAGTCTTGGTTTCCTGAGTATCCTTGTCATCTACACTAATAAAAGACAAAGATGCTAATTGACCATACCTTTGCTATGCCCATCAGCCAATCAGAAGAGTATGCAAATTAACTCAACAAAGATGGATGCTAAATTTGCATACTGCAGGCAGGGCAGGACAGTGCAATCCGCTGCCCTCCCGCTGCCATCCGGGCCTCCCGTGTGCAACCCAGGGCAGCGGGGCGGGGCAGCGTGATCAGCCGCCCACCCTGCCGCCATCCAGGCCTGCCATCTGCGACCCAGCACGGAATCTGGGCCTGCCATATGCCACCCAGCATGGGATCCGGGCCTGCCATCTGTGACCCGGGGAGGCGGGGCAGGCACCGCAGGATCAGGCCTGCCATCTGCCACCCGGGAGTGGGCCTAAGCCAGCAGGTGGTTATCTCCCGAGGGGTCCCAGACTGTGAGAGGGCACAGGTTGGGCTGAGGGACACCCCCCCCACCACCACCAGTGCACAAATTTTTGTGCACCGGGCCTCTAGTCTATAATAATAAAAGCGTAATATGCTAATTAGACTGGACGTCCTTCCGGGTGTCCTTCCTTCTGGACAAAGCTGCAGCGGGTGGGGGCTGAGGTAGAGGCAGCATAATTTTGTGCATTGGGCCTCTAGTTGGTATAATGATGTACTGAACAGGGGGACCAATTTGTAAAACTCATGGCATAAAGTCTTTGGTCTGTACATAGTATTTATTATTAATTTAGATGCTAATGAAAAGCTTATTCACAGAAGGTGTAGATTATTTCTGTTAGTCACTTCTTTATTTTATGAAAGCAGCCATTTAATATTTCTCATTTATGAGAAGAGACTTGACCGATTTAGATAAAGACAAGTTAAGGAAAATCTTTGAATTTGAGTAGACAGGTTTCATATATCTGAAAAATTAATATCGAATGATGGCTCAGCTAATCCCTGCTCATCACAGAAAATAATTGAACTCCCAGCCATACAGCTTGTAACCTAAGTACCAAACTGTCTTAGACATCTGATAAAGTGAGAAGGTTTGTGTCTTTTACTAAACTGATAAAAATGTGATAAATTTGATAATTTTGATTTAAATGAGAAGCAACTAGGGACTAATTAATTCATTCAGTAAATGTTATTGAGTGCCTACTGTGTAATCAGCTTTTCCAATTCAATGGTGAATGGACAGACAAAGCCTCTAATCATATGGAATTTATATTCTGGAAGGGGGAGACAAAGAAATAGGTGAATGAATGTTAGAGTGTGCGAAGTTCTTGGAAAGAAATAGCAGGGTGATAGTACAGGAAGCAACTGTGTTGTGTTGTGGGTGAGGGGATGGGATAGTGTGGACATCTGTCAGCGTTTTGGCTGCCACCATCTCTTCCTTTTCCACTAGGCCCTGATTTCCTAATGGAGAACGAATTCTCTGCCATGGTGGTCAGCCCTGCAACTTGGCTGGGCACCCTTGGAGAGGGATGCATTGTAGCTCATTGCCAGGACAGGGTGGTAGGCAGAGCCCGACGTATTCCTGGTGATAGAAGGAGAGGCATAGGTTATATTCAGAGTTGTGTATAATTTGCCACTTTTGGGGTTTCTCCTTCAGTTTCCCAAGAATTAGATGATGCTTGATCCTGCAGCCTCAAAGCACAGCAGACCGTTTCATAGAATTATTGTGATTCACGGAATCTGCAAGATCTTTAACTGTTTCTTAAAATTGTGTCTTTAAGTAAGAACTATTCAATAAGGTTTTTCCTGTAGAGGTTATTGTAGCTTCCCTGACTGGCTGGTTTGAATTTTTTATTAGTTACTAGGTTAAGGACATTGGTCAAATTTTGCACATGGCACAGGATAGGGAATGACAGCTACCATGTTTGATGTCAAAAATAGGGTTCAAAAACAAACTGATGAATGAAGTAGATTCAGAGGCATAGAAACATGGAACAGATTGACTAATCTCAGAGGGAAGGGGGTGGGAGGGGTGAGAAGAGATTAACCAAAGATCTTCTATACATACATGGATTACCTATGGACACAGACAATAGGGTGGTGAAGACCTGGGGTGGGAGCCGGGTGGAGGGGAGTAATGGAGGG